CCCCTCCTGTGCGTTGATTGGAGCCTGCTGCAAGCCGTTTCCATGTGTCACGCCCATTCCTCGGTTCTGCTATCACAGTAGGCGGAGTCCTGTCTGTCCGTCTGCGGGAGAGGGCGGGGATAATTCACCCAGGGCGGGGAGCCGGAACTCAGCTCCGGGGTTTCACTATTGGGCGGGCTCTCCATCACCTTAACTCTGTGGGGGCGGGCTCTCCATCACCTTAACTCTGTGGGGGCGGGCTCTCCATCACCTTAACTCTGTGGGGGCGGGCTCTCCATCACCTTAACTCTGTGGGGGCGGGCTCGAGTGTGGAGAAGTCTCTGCCAGTGGGGCTGCGCGAGGATCTGCACATGGTATGGTCCACAGAGCCCGGGCTCCTCTGCATGGATGTACGCGTGTGCGCTCACAGGCGTGTGCTAGAGATTCTGGCACCTGTGACCCCCTGATACTCAGTGCTGAGCGATCGTCAGCTGTTTGCTTCAGAGATCCCGACCATTGTTCCCGATACTGACCCGGCTCGCCTGACCTGCTGACCCCGGGCTTGTTCTGGAATCTGACACATGTAGAGAGGTGACGCATGCAGAGGGGTGACGCATGCAGAGCGGTGACGCACGTAGAGAGGTGACACAGGTAGAGAGGTGACACACGTAGAGAGGTGACACACGTAGAGAGGTGACACGTAGAGGGGTGACACACGTAGAGCGGTGACACACGTAGAGCGGTGACACACGTAGAGCGGTGACACACGTAGAGGGGTGACACACGTAGAGCGGTGACACACGTAGAGGGGTGACATGTAGAGAGGTGACATGTAGAGAGGTGACACATGTAGAGAGGTGACGCATGTAGAGAGGTGACGCATGCAGAGGGGTGACGCATGCAGAGGGGTGACGCATGTAGAGCGGTGACACACGTAGAAAGGTGACACACGTAGAGGGGTGACACATGTAGAGCGGTGACACACGTAGAGGGGTGACACACGTAGAGGGGTGACATGTAGAGAGGTGACACATGTAGAGAGGTGACACATGTAGAGAGGTGACACATGTAGAAAGGTGACACATGTAGAGGGGTGACATGTAGAGAGGTGACACATGTAGAGAGGTGACACATGTAGAGAGGTGACACATGTAGAGAGGTGACACATGTAGAGGGGTGACACATGTAGAGCGGTGACACATGTAGAGCGGTGACACATGTAGAGAGGTGACACATGTAGAGAGGTGACACATGTAGAGGTGACGCACGTAGAGCGGTGACACACGTAGAGAGGTGACACACATAGAAAGGTGACACACGTAGAGGGGTGACACACGTAGAGCGGTGACACACGTAGAGAGGTGACACACGTAGAGAGGTGACACACGTAGAGAGGTGACACACGTAGAGAGGTGACACATGTAGAGAGGTGACACATGTAGAGGTGACGCACGTAGAGCGGTGACACACGTAGAGAGGTGACACACATAGAAAGGTGACACACGTAGAGGGGTGACACACGTAGAGCGGTGACACACGTAGAGAGGTGACACACGTAGAGAGGTGACACACGTAGAGAGGTGACACACGTAGAGAGGTGACACATGTAGAGAGGTGACACATGTAGAGAGGTGACACATGTAGAAAGGTGACACATGTAGAAAGGTGACACATGTAGAAAGGTGACACATGTAGAGGGGTGACATGTAGAGAGGTGACACATGTAGAGAGGGGACACATGTAGAGAGGTGACACATGTAGAGCGGTGACACATGTAGAGGGGTGACACATGTAGAGCGGTGACACATGTAGAGAGGTGACACATGTAGAGAGGTGACACATGTAGAGAGGTGACACATGTAGAGGTGACACATGCAGAGCGGTGACACATGTAGAGGGGTGACACATACAGAGAGGTGACACATGTAGAGAGGTGACACATGTAGAGAGGTGACACATGTAGAGAGGTGACACATGTAGAGGTGACACATGCAGAGGGGTGACACATGTAGAGAGGTGACACATGGAGAGGTGACACATGCAGAGGGGTGACACATGTAGAGGGGTGACACATACAGAGAGGTGACACATACAGAGAGGTGACACATGTAGAGGGGTGACACATGTGGAGAGGCAACACATGTAGAGCGGCGACACATGTAGAGGGGTGACACATGTAGAGCGGTGACACATGTAGAGGGGTGACACATGTAGAGGGGTGACACATGTAGAGGGGTGACACATGTAGAGCGGTGACACATGTAGAGGGGTGACACATGTAGAGCGGTGACACATGTAGAGAGGTGACACATGTAGAGGTGACACATGCAGAGGGGTGACACATGCAGAGCGGTGACACATGTAGAGGGGTGACACATACAGAGAGGTGACACATGTAGAGAGGTGACACATGTAGAGAGGTGACACATGTAGAGAGGTGACACATGTAGAGGGGTGACACATGTAGAGGGGTGACACATGTAGAGGGGTGACACATGTAGAGAGGTGACACATGTAGAGGGGTGACACATGTAGAGCGGTGACACATGTAGAGAGGTGACACATGTAGAGGGGTGACACATGTAGAGCGGTGACACATGTAGAGGGGTGACACATGTAGAGAGGTGACACATGTAGAGAGGTGACACATGTAGAGGGGTGACACATGTAGAGAGGTGACACATGTAGAGGGGTGACACATGTAGAGAGGTGACACATGTAGAGGGGTGACACATGTAGAGCGGTGACACATGTAGAGGGGTGACACATGTAGAGCGGTGACACATGTAGAGAGGTGACACATGTAGAGGGGTGACACATGTAGAGAGGTGACACATGTAGAGGTGACACATGCAGAGGGGTGACACATGTAGAGCGGTGACACATGTAGAGGGGTGACACATGTAGAGCGGTGACACATGTAGAGAGGTGACACATGTAGAGGGGTGACACATGTAGAGAGGTGACACATGTAGAGGGGTGACACATGTAGAGCGGTGACACATGTAGAGGGGTGACACATGTAGAGCGGTGACACATGTAGAGAGGTGACACATGTAGAGGGGTGACACATGTAGAGAGGTGACACATGTAGAGGTGACACATGCAGAGGGGTGACACATGCAGAGCGGTGACACATGTAGAGGGGTGACACATACAGAGAGGTGACACATGTAGAGAGGTGACACATGTAGAGAGGTGACACATGTAGAGAGGTGACACATGTAGAGGGGTGACACATGTAGAGGGGTGACACATGTAGAGGGGTGACACATGTAGAGCGGTGACACATGTAGAGGGGTGACACATGTAGAGGGGTGACACATGTAGAGAGGTGACACATGTAGAGGTGACACATGCAGAGGGGTGACACATGCAGAGCGGTGACACATGTAGAGGGGTGACACATACAGAGAGGTGACACATGTAGAGAGGTGACACATGTAGAGAGGTGACACATGTAGAGAGGTGACACATGTAGAGGGGTGACACATGTAGAGGGGTGACACATGTAGAGGGGTGACACATGTAGAGCGGTGACACATGTAGAGGGGTGACACATGTAGAGGGGTGACACATGTAGAGAGGTGACACATGTAGAGGTGACACATGCAGAGGGGTGACACATGCAGAGCGGTGACACATGTAGAGGGGTGACACATACAGAGAGGTGACACATGTAGAGAGGTGACACATGTAGAGAGGTGACACATGTAGAGAGGTGACACATGTAGAGGGGTGACACATGTAGAGGGGTGACACATGTAGAGGGGTGACACATGTAGAGCGGTGACACATGTAGAGGGGTGACACATGTAGAGGGGTGACACATGTAGAGAGGTGACACATGTAGAGGTGACACATGCAGAGGGGTGACACATGCAGAGCGGTGACACATGTAGAGGGGTGACACATACAGAGAGGTGACACATGTAGAGAGGTGACACATGTAGAGAGGTGACACATGTAGAGAGGTGACACATGTAGAGGGGTGACACATGTAGAGGGGTGACACATGTAGAGGGGTGACACATGTAGAGGGGTGACACATGTAGAGCGGTGACACATGTAGAGGGGTGACACATGTAGAGGGGTGACACATGTAGAGGGGTGACACATGTAGAGCGGTGACACATGTAGAGGGGTGACACATGTAGAGAGGTGACACATGTAAAGCGGTGACACATGTAGAGCGGTGACACATGTAGAGAGGTGACACATGTAGAGGGGTGACACATGTAGAGCGGTGACACGCGGCTGCAGATGACATGACACACCACTCCGTGTTACATAAATATATCTCGGTATTTATTAGAATATTACAGCTCTGTGATTGGACGGGATCCCTTTTCTGATGCCACGCCCTTCAGGTAATAGACCCAGTAGATGGCCTGGCTGGTGCCGGTGGCACGGGGGCATGACACCACCAGTCTTCCGGCCACGGGGGCCCTGCTGCCTCCCGGCGGGGCCTCGTATGACACGGAGATCTGGTGGGTCTTCTTGGGCCGCACGGCCTCGCACGCTCTGGCGGTGAACGCCGGAGGTTCCGTCTGGAAGCTGAAGGTTGTCGGCTGCAGGAAAACGTTCTTGAAGGGGATGGAGATGTTGGAGCCGGAGCGGATCTGGATGGGGCCCTGCGGCTTGGGGGCCAATGCCGAGCCGAATAGCGGGATGGTGTAGTCGCCGCCGAGCGGGGAGGAGATGGAGAGGACGGCCCGCGACTCCCCGAGCTGGATGGGCTCGTACGTCACGTCCATGCTGACCTCCGATCCTCCCTGCGAGCCCGGAGCCGCCATCACCAGCTTCTCCACGTGGAAATCCGCGTTGTCAACCTGTGGAGGGGACACGGCGTCAGGTGAGCGAGGAGAGCGGGAAAGGTGTCACCGGTGCCGGGCCGCCACTCACCTTGCAGCTGTACTCCGTCTTCTGGCGGGTGTAGTTGGTGAACTTGGCGCTCAATGTCTGTCCGGAGCCGAGCGCGGCGCGGAAGTAGAGCGGCTTCTCGGACACGGCGGCGGTGGCCCTCAGCAGAAGGTCGTACAGGAACATGCCGAGGTCGCTGCTCTGCAGGGTAAGCCTCCCCGTGGTCTCGCCGGACTTCAGCGGCTGGTACTCGAACATCAGGGAGCCCTGGAAGACAAGGAGGGGCTTACAGGACTCCATGCACGGGGGAGGGGGGAAGGGGCCGGGAGGAGGCGTGGTCACCCGGGAAGCCTTACCTCGGACTGGGCCGGGACGGTGATCTGCGGGGGGAGATTAATCTCCGGCACTCTGCAGTCCGTGGTGAAGGTTACCGGCGCGGACAGCGGATTCTCTACCGTGACAACGGCGGCCGTGCTTTGGCGCACTGGGGTCACCAACTCTATGGTACTGATGACGCCCGGCGGCGTGGACTTGAAGGTGACGTTGTAGAAGAGATATTCCTGCGTCGCCTCGTTCCGGAACGTCACCTGAAGCCGAGAGAATCGGAGAACACTCAGTGAAAGCCGGGTGACACCGTACCTCTGCGGCTGGTATGGTGTCACCGGCATCAGACGGCAAAGACGGTTCTACGTCCCACCGATTCCTCCCAACTGGGAGACAACGCGGACAGGACCGGCTTCCTCCGACACTCGGGAGACCTCCTTCCTCACCCTGTGGCCCCTCGGCCCGGGTCCGTGTGACTCACCTTGGCAGAGAAGGTTCCCTCCTTGTGGGAGTGAAAGTTCAGCTTGTAGTCTCTCTGGGCAGATCCCGGCACCTCCAGGTAATCCAGACCTCTGATGGCGGTGGCCGGGTCCAGGCGTTCTGGTCTCACCATATCAATGAGGACACGGAACCTGAACATGGAGAGAGTGTCACCGGACAGGAAACCGAGGCCGACCCATGTATCCTGAGCTGCGTATTACGCAATGGAGAGTACTAGGATCACATGTGAGGTCTATGGAGAGTACTAGGATCACATGTGAGGCCTATGGAGAGTACTAGGATCAGCTGTGAGGTCTATGGAGAGTACTAGGATCACATGTGAGGTCTATGGAGAGTACTAGGATCACATGTGAGGTCTATGGAGAGTGCTATGACCCCCCCCCCCAGGACACGGAGGTCTCTATGGTCCTGGCTGTGCAGAGAGTGCTATGACCCCCCAGGACACGCAGGTCTCTATGGTCCTGGCTGTGCAGAGAGTGCTATGACCCCCCAGGACACGCAGGTCTCTATGGTCCTGGCTGTGCAGAGAGTGCTATGACCCCCCAGGACACGCAGGTCTCTATGGTCCTGGCTGTGCAGAGAGTGCTATGACCCCCCAGGACACGCAGGTCTCTATGGTCCTGGCTGTGCAGAGAGTGCTATGACCCCCCAGGACACGCAGGTCTCTATGGTCCTGGCTGTGCAGAGAGTGCTATGTATCACCTTTGAGCTTTGCGCAGCCAGTTGGTGACGGTCAGAAGTTCGGTGTAGGACGTCTTACTCGGGACCTCCCTGACGATGGTTCCGGAGGACTTCGGGGGCTCGGCCACTCCATGCAGCGTGTACATTAGGCCCCTCCCATCAGACAGCGGGAAGAAGATGGAACCCTGAAAGACACGAAACCAACCTGAGCACCCGAGACACAGGAGGAGGCGGGGCAATGCGCCGTTACCCCCGGCAACCAGACACAGGGCTCTCCTGGTCCTCGCCAAGCCGCCCGGTCACGTATGTACTATGTGCGGGTCTAAACACGCGTGTACCTGGTGCTTCCTCCCGTCAGGGCTCATGACCAGCGGCTGGTAGGTGACCTCGTAGGGCTTGTTCTGCTGATGGGCCTCCACTGTGATCACCTCGGGGCCCCTCCAGTGTTCCCCGTCAATGATTGGACGCAGGTTCCACGTGTCATGCGTCTTGTTGGTCAGGTAGATGGACTGAGTCTGTTTACTTCGTACCTGGCATTGGAAGCTCACCACCTGCAGGAGACACGGCATGAGGCCGACATATACCGAGGCGCTTGATTGCAGCTCCACACAGGATCCGGAGAGGGTCAGGTGGAGGGTCGTGTGGCCCTCGGTGAGGCAGGACAGGTTCTCATAGAGAATATCAGAGCGGGTCTCTCCGGGGTGAAAGGTCAGGTCGAAGGTCACCTCGCTGCCGGCCGTGACGTATCCTGACACCGGAGAGATGGAAAAGTCCGGCTGGAACTTCTTTATGTCCCACTGAAACCTGAGAGAGACGGTGAGGAGGATGTGACCAATGACAGGTACCCTTCCCTCGTGGCACAGTACCTGGCTTCCCCTTGTGGCACAGTACCTGGCTCCCCCTTGTGGCACAGTACCTGGCTCCCCCTCGTGGCACAGTACCTGGCTCCCCCTTGTGGCACAGTACCTGGCTCCCCCTCGTGGCACAGTACCTGGCTCCCCCTCGTGGCACAGTACCTGGCTCCCCCTCGTGACACAGTACCTTGCTCCCCCTCGTGACACAGTACCCGGCTCCCCTCGTGGCACAGTACCCGGCTCCCCCTCGTGGCACAGTACCCGGCTCCCCCTCGTGGCACAGTACCTGGCTCCCAGCTCTCCGGTGTTGCTGAGCACGATGCGGCGCGTGGCTTGGCTCTGAAGCACCACGGCTCCGAATGTGACGTGTTCCTGGTCCAGGCTGAGCTCCAGGCCCTGACCACTGCCACGTACAACCAGGAGAGAGCGCAGCACGCCGTCACACTCCATCACCACTTCCTCTGTGAACCGGGAGATGCGACTTCGAGGGCTGAACTGCAAATCCAGCTTACACACGCCACCGTGGGCGGGAATCGTGACCACGGAGCCGGGCGACAGGCTGAGGACCTGCAGAGGGTGACATGTACCGTGTGAGATAGACGGCACGGTACCGTGATGTGTCCCTATGACAGTTCAGTGTATGATTACATGTGGGTGCACCTTCCCCGTGGCAGTATTATATCTGTGACCTATCATAGCCGTGTACCATACATGTATAGGGGTGGCAGTATTATATGTGTGGCCTATCATAGCCGTGTGCCATACATGTGCAGGTGTGGCAGCATTATATGTGTGACCTATCATAGCCGTGTACAGAACATGTGTAGGTGTGGCAGTATTATATGTGTGACCTATCATAGCCGTGTACAGAACATGTGTAGGTGTGGCAGTATTATATGTGTGACCTATCATAGCCGTGTACCATACATGTGCAGGTGTGGCAGTATTATATGTGTGACCTATCATAGCCGTGTACAGAACATGTGTAGCTGTGGCAGTATTATATGTGTGACCTATCATAGCCGTGTACCATACATGTGTAGCTGTGGCAGTATTATATGTGTGACCTATCATAGCCGTGTACCATACATGTGTAGGGGTGGGAGTATTATATGTGTGACCTATCATAGCCGTGTACAGAACATGTGTAGGTGTGGCAGTATTATATGTGTGACCTATCATAGCCGTGTACCATACATGTGTAGGTGTGGCAGTATTATATGTGTGACCTATCATAGCCGTGTACCATACATGTGCAGGTGTGGCAGTATTATATGTGTGACCTATCATAGCCGTGTACAGAACATGTGTAGCTGTGGCAGTATTATATGTGTGACCTATCATAGCCGTGTACCATACATGTGTAGCTGTGGCAGTATTATATGTGTGACCTATCATAGCCGTGTACCATACATGTGTAGGGGTGGGAGTGTTACAGGTCCACTACACGTGGCATGGTATAATGTACCTTGGGGTCCTGCAATGCCGGGACGCTGGCCGTCAGACTCAGGTTACATGTGACCGCGGCCGCGCTCTGGTTCACTATGGCCACGCTCTTCCTCACGGTGTGGCCGACGGTGACCGCACCGAAGTCTGTGACTTTATTTTTGGGATCGGCGACTTCCACCTGAGAAACATAAATCCGTCACCCTGGAAGGGAGATTTGGTGGAGGATTTGGGGGTCATGCCGGCGTGGCACACGTAGATCACATACCTTCATCTCGATGCCGTGGCCCTGAAGCCGGAGGTCCTGCCTGGAGTGGCCGTTCATCTGAAAGACAACCGTCTCCTGGTAGAAGATGGCCGCCCGCGGGTAGAAGGTGACGGGAACCTCCATCACGCCTCCGGGGGGGAGCACATCCGAGGAACACCCAACCACCATGTGTGCCGTGTCACTGTACAGGCAGTCAATGCTAGGACGGAAGAGACACGCCGAGTCACATGACACGGGAAAGCACCACAACCGCACATGTCCTGCCACCACCGGGACACGTCTTCCACTTCACATCATTCGTGGCAAATAACACCCTGTGCTTCTACCTGGACGTCTGGAACACGTGACGCTGCACATTGATTGTGACACGGGCCCACCGGGACACCAAGGTGTTGTATCAGTCGGTGTATGTGGTGTCGGGGTATCGGTGGGTGGATGTGGTGTCGGGGTATCGGTGGGTGGATGTGGTGTCGGGGTATCGGTGGGTGGATGTGGTGTCGGGGTATTTCGGCTCACCTGACATCTCGGTTATCCTTGTTTGTGATGAGGAGAGATTTTCGGACGGGTCTCATCCCCTCGTGGTAGATGAAGCAACGGCCGAAGTTGTGTTCGGTGAAGGAGAAGTGTATCCCCGGCTGCACCGCGCCGCCTCCTATCTGACACGTCACCTCCGGCCCGTTCTCGATCTGTAAGATGGCAGAATGGACGTTATTATTATACGGTCGGCGCCGAGGAGGCCGGGGCCCGGCTTCACATCTCAGGGAGTCCATCACTCTGGGGCCCCCCGACCCTTCAATCAGCGTTTCCTGGGGACACGGCACCCCCATGCGGGACATACACAGCTGGTACCCCACAGACGCGGCTCGTACCCCGCACACGCGGCTCGTACCC